GACCTCCGTCTTGACAATCCGACATAAAAGAAGGTTTTACATTTAGTGTCGGATCATCGAGTCATAACTGTAATAACTAATGTTGGCACTTTTCTACAGTATGAAGTCAGATTATTTGTTTAAAAAAAACCTTAATCAACCATATTGTCTTTTTCACATATAACTATCCTTCATTAAACATTAAAGAAAAGAAAAAAACACAGGCTGGAAACTGTTTTAATTATATAAAGTGGACTGTATTTTTATGAGATGATCATTTTTCATATTTTAAAAAAAAATCGTTCTTTTTTTTAACAGTGCAGAGATGAAGGAGGTTTTCTGATTTGAGAAATTCTCGCTTTAACATTTTCATCCATTGATACATTAAGAGGGATGTAGTGTTTTATGATTTTATATTTATCGTCTTAATATTCACCTTGTATTCATTTTTTGATCTTCGAGCAAATTTTTGTTGGGAATAAAGGTGTAATTTACTTTGTGTTTATGTTTTTTTCTTTAGTTCCTCTGACTGATCAATGGACTGGATGCATTCTGCAGCGACGTAAGTCCCATAAAATGATTTTCTGCATTATTTGCCTCCTGAATTTTGCATGTTCCTTTTACGTCAGTACGAACATTTTCGCCATAAATTCGTGCAGAAAATGTACAAATCTCTGCATAGATGCTCAACAGAATGCAGGAAATTAAGTGTTTGGAACTTCTAGATCATTCCATGACCGCTAAAGCACCACGGCTACGTATTCACATTTGTCTGTGCTTTAGCTTTAGTGGATTCCAAGTTGTGTCTCTTATATACTGGTTAAAGAATACATTAAAACACCCTGATTACATTTAATAATCTGAAAAATTTGCCTTTTTTTTTTTTACTTTAATACAACAAATGAGTGTAAATTTAAGACGATCAATAGTTTAAACAGAAATTAATGTTAAAAAAGACTCGATTAAAGGTATTCTTCTGTGTAATCATCGGTGACTTTACTCACTGGTGCTGGTCGGAGCTCTCCACAGCGTCGGCCATGTTTGTTGACTGTCAGGGTCGCCGTAGAAACCCCCCAGTGCATCATGGGTCGGGGTCGGATTACAGCAAGAGACCGTGGGGAGGGACTCTCTCCATCCAGGACGAGAACAAAACTTTCATTTTTTCATTTGTGTTTTCTTTAAATCAGATTTTGGCATTTTGTTTGGGGAGACGGTGCAGTTTGGACGAACGAAAGAAAAGGAGGCAAACGTTACAGCAAAAATAAACCTTTATTTCCAAATATAGAACTTCAGTCCACAAAATACAATCACGTCATTAAATCTGCGTATGTTTTCAGAATATTTACAGAATCACAGCGATCCTCGTCCCTGTAACAGTCTGGTTGGAGGAGGTGAAGCAGACTTGATCAATGTTACAGTAACTCTAAAGATGTGGCGCCATCTGGTGGCTGCACCAAGAATAACAGAGTGGTAGGTTCCCTTTTTAAAAGTCAGTCAGAGCTCCCCCCACCTCCTTACAATCAGCTGAGTCTTCATCTACAGTAACCTTAGTGTATTTAATGAAGCCGTTACCTTCATACTATGAAGTGATGAGTTTCAGGCCCTCAAAGGTCCAAATTTATCACTTTTTAATGGACTTTTCCATCATTTCTGAGCATTTCTGTCTCTTGGACAGAGCAGAACATGACGCAACAGGAATTATCAGGGTGTTAATTCCTTCAGGGGGAAAACAAAAAGTGAAAGTGTTAAAATATGCCAATATTACAAAATAGTTCGTCCTCAGAGTGAATCGTGTCTAGAAGATGATGCTGCTGTCAAACCTGATCCAGTGTTCAGACGGTGACACCTGGATAGATGTGTTTTCATCCATTGAAATAGTTAAAAATGACATTAAAGTTGTTCAAAATTCTAGAAGTCATCAGTTTGTTTGAAATTACATGAAAGTTGTCAAAAATGTCCAGTGTTACTCAAATTCATCCAAATGTTCAGTGTTCAGACTGAGACACCTGGATGGATGTAGAACTGATCTGGTGTCAGGTTCTACCAGAACCCAGACGTGTTCTTCCTCCTGAATGTCACGTGTCTATCTGCTGTACTGATGAAGTTCTGAGGCTCAGAAATGATGGAAAAAGTCCATTAAAGTGATCAATCTGAACCCTCCTCTGTGGACTTCAAGGACCTGGAGCTCTGGAACATTCACAGTCTGAAGGTAGAACTCGAAAAAGGAATCTCGAAAATGCAAAAATGGACCGTATTTGATTGTTGTCATTTCTTTTGTTTTTTTCTTTTTTTTTAATCTAACACCTTAAACATGTTTGTTCTGTTTTTGAAACAAAGAATAGAAATTAGTTTTGAAAAATCCAAAGATTAAAACGTCTTACTGCCTTCAAGTGTGGTCGTCTGAAATGTCAGAGCCTTTAAAATAACACGATTGTGTTAAATATTCCTCCTGGAGGTTTTTATTTTTCCAATCGGATGCTGATCCCAGGTCCATCTGGTACTGCAGCTGCTGGAGTTTTACTGTAAGAACATCTGGAAATCGTCCAGATGTTTAACTTCTGGTGCAACATCAAGTGTCTTTTACAGGATTTCGTTTGTGCGTCTCGTCACGTTTTTGCTGCCCGACAAAAACACACAACTGTAGCTGCACTATAAAACATAAAAAAAAACATAAAACATAAAATCAAAGGTGTCATAAACGTTACTCTTAAATATGAAGTTCTTCCAACTAGTGTTTCTACATCCTTTTGAATTGAGCCAATTTACTTAATTTACCTCAACTTGAATTCAGCTTTAGTTCAGTTACGACAGAAATTAGAGTTAAATTACAAACAATGTGAAGTTGGTGCAACACGACTCATCAAAACAATGTTTGGAACATGGAAAGATGATTGAAATCAGAATATTTGAGTTTTTAATCTTGAGAATACTTCCCTAAAATTACTTTGAGTTCTGTGTTGCTTAAAGTACTTGGTTACCTGGAGGCTATGAAGAAATTTGACATTAAAGTTTGAATGCTACTTAGCTTCAGATAGCATGTTTATACAACATGAAAGCTATCTAAGCTAGGCTAGCTAGCT